TAGTTGATTTAACATCGTAGGCGTTTGACTGCTCTTAGTGAATATACACCAATGTGCTTGGCTCTGAGATCCAACAGGCAGCATTTAAAAGCTGACATTCCTTGTTGGTTTCGAGAATGTGGAGGCCCTTGCGGAATTAAAGGCTGGATGCGGTAATCGCAGTCCTTGATGCAATTATGGCACTATGCGGCTTGTCTCTTGAATAATAAACAGGAAAAAATATGGCCCCGGCTAATTCACCAGTACCTAAAGATTTTCTCAGACCGAGATCGCATAAAGTGAACGTGCAGAACTTTGAGGGAAGGGATCATAACCTGATAAAAACTCAGGTTATAAGCAGAATCTGTCTCCGCCGCCACCGACTTGCGTTTTACCGCCATAGACTCTTCAGCAACGCGTATAAACAAGTTTCATGGAACAAACTTCCATGCGTGGAAATTCGAGCTGCGGATAGTGCTTGAGGAGCGGGACCTGTGGGAGGTCGTCTACGGGGATGAAAAGATCGAGCAATTCCTAACTAAGTTGAACAAAGCGATGATCAAGCAAAAATCGCGCAAGGCGATGGCTTTTATCTGCCTGGCTATGGAAGATTCGCAGTTACAGTTGGTTTGCTTGGCAAGTGGCGCATTTGATGCATGGGAGAAGTTAAAAGACCATTTTGAAAAGAATAGCCTGGCAAACAAGCTCTTTTTTCGTCGTCGTTTCTTCACAACTATGATGAATGAACGTGATGATGCGCTCGCTCACATTCAAATGGTTGAAACACTGGCGGAACAGCTTGACGCAGTCAGCGCTCCGGTCAGCTAAGATGACATGGTAATCACGCTTCTTGGCAGCCTAGTGACTTGTACCGATTTCTTATTATGGCGTTGGACTCACGTGCCCACGCGCTGACGTAGGAACTTGTGACGTCTCGGCTGCTACACGAAGACTTAAAGCGCAAGGAATAAGTTGGTGGTGTTGATGGAGTCAGGAACAGCCAATGTCAAGAATTTATGACCAACAATCACCGCAAGCACAGAGGAGGGCGGTAGATGCAGAAGGTCAGCCCATGCCACTACTGTGCCGAACTAGGACATCAAATTGCCAAGTGTCCTGGAGGATCCGTGATAATTCGGAGCGGAGAAGCGCATGGAGCAAGTTTCGTGCAGAGTGAAGGTTGATTTGGCGACTTCTAATTCTCATTTGGTTGTGGATCTGCTCCAGCAAGTGACATCTGGCTTATCGACTCAGGTGCGACGCAGCACATGAGGTACTCAAGGAAGCACATGAAAAACTACAAGAAGATTTTGCCAGTAACGGTGCAGCTCGTGGATGACGGTATTGTTCAAGCAGTGGGAACGGGCGAAATTGTCATGACAATGCAGACTACGTCTGGAGTCAAGAAGGGCGTCATTACGGTGCGTGGCATATTCCCAAGATGTCACGAAACCTGTTTTCTGTAGGTCGTTTTTCGACAGATGTTGGCTCTGTCACGGTCAATACCGACGCGTGCTTCGCGGAGGTGGTGAACATGACATGGCAGCTGGGTGCACGTAAGAGGGGCTGTTCAAGCTCTGCATAGCGTCTCTTCTACCTGACGAGGCAATTGTGTCAATCTCGACGGGTTGCCAGCGGGGTGTCACGTCATACCTCTGGCACCTTCGGCTTGGTCACCTCGGCCGTGGCGGTTTTGACACCATCGTAAGATAAATATGGCGTTAGCATCAACATCACGTTGGTAAAGCAGTGAAAGATGAGTCAGAGGTGTGCTCTGGGCAAGCAAACGCGAGCAAGCTTTATACCCAGATCATCAAGTCACACAAAATTTGCTCGAGGTCATCCACACTGACGGTTGAAGCCCTATGCGCCGTACTTTTGGCGTCTGCCCGTAATTAGTTACATTCACTGACAAATAATCGAAATTTTTGCGTGGTGTATTTGCTACTGAAAAACTTTGACGTGGCGGCCAAATATGCAAATTTTGATGCCTCCGCTGAGACGTTGACAGGCAACCAGGTCAACGTTTTTTGCAGTAATAATGGAGGAGAATACAATTCGAGTGAGATGATAAAGCTCTGGAGCAAGTGCGGTGTCGTACAGAAGTACACGCCTGAGTTCAATGGAGTCGCAAAGCGGATAAAACAGACATTGGTGGAATGTGCTTGCTGCATGTTGTAGCATACCGGATTGTCTAAGGCGTATTAGGGCGAAAAAATAATGACCGCTACATATCTTCGTAATCAATGCCCGATGCATTCCACCAGTCAGGATAAGTCGCCGCACCAAATCTGGACCGGTAAGAAACCGCTACTGGCGAACCTGAAAGTGTTCGGTTGCCATGCGTATGTAACGGTCCCAAAGCAGCAACGCGGCAAAATCGATGCCTGCTTGATATTCTACAATTAATCGGATATAAGGAGCATGAGAAAGCATATGGGTTTGAAAATACCAAAAGATGTCACATTATAACAAATCTTGACGCGCGATTTATGGAAGATGTCTTTACAAATGGGAGACGCTGCCATAGCGACGAATACGAGTCAAAAGACGTATTCGTGAATATCCCGGATGATGAGGTCACTGATCACGAATCATGATCTCCACCGTATATCGCTGGTAATGATGAAGACTTTGCGCCTGGGTCTAAGCGTTACATCCGAGCTCCTTCGTCGGAACACGCAATTGAAATTTCGGCGCCGAAGAGGCAAACTCGTTCGCAGACAAAACGAGCATTTGCGCGGGTACCGTACGATCTTTACGCAGCGTATGTTATAAATTTAGTGAGACAAATGTCGCTAGTGTTCAAGTTTGCGATTAAATCTTTTAACCCGGCTAAGTGGAAGGATGCGTGCGACTCCTAGATTGACTCTCTTCACAAGAATAAGACGTGGACGTCGGTACCATTGCCTAAGGGTCAAAAGGCGATCGGCTGTCGATGGGTATTTCGGGTCAAGGAGGAAAACCATGCTGGTGCGATTGAGCGTTTTAGAGCACGTCTTGTTGCTAAAGGATTCTCCCAGCAATACGGCATTAATTATGAGGAACATTTTGCACCAGTGGCCAAATTTACGTCAATCAGAACGGATTAGTCTGGCAGCCATGTACAATCTGGCCGTTCATCAGATAGATGACAAAACGTCTTTTCTAAATGGGAATTTAGATGAAGACATCTATATGGTTCAATGGGACGGTTACATCGATCAAAAACACGGTTATTTCGTTTGCAAGCTGCAGCGTTCTCTTTACGAATTCAAACAATCGCCGCAAATGTGAACAAGACTATCGACGTATTCATGCGTCAGCTTACGCTTAAGAATTGAAAGTCTTTCCAGTGTATCTATATCAAGCGTTATTAAAAGCAAATTATTCATTTGGAGGTTTTGCGTTGATGATCTGGACCTTGCTAGTAGCAACGACAAAATACTAATGGAAACCAAGTACGCACTCAGTCAGCGGTTTGAGATGACCGGCATGGTGCAACTCCAACACTTTCTTGGTGTGTAAATTGATTAGGACGATTTAGCTGGGAAATTGTCGATGCGGCAAAGCAAATTCGTCAAAGATATTGTTGATATATTTGGCATGAAAACAGCAAACCGGTCAAGACACCTCAAGACCCAGGACTCCGGTTGACAAAAAATCATGTACGAAGAAGGTTGCAATCATGCAGAGACGATGGCAAACGTACCTTACCAAAACGCGGTTGGATGTAGAATGTTCTTATGGAATGTTTTTGTCCTTACCTTGCTGCTTCAGTGGGAGTGCTTAGTCAGTTTGCGTCCGACTCGTGTCCAACACACTGGTAGGCACTCAAAAGGGTATTTCTTTACATTAAAGGAACGAGGGGGGATTGAATTTTAAGCAAAAGGTAACCCATGATTACAAGGATACTCGAATGCGGACCGGGCGGCGACATTAAGTCTCGATGAAGCTCGAGTGGTAGCATGTAACGGTGAGTACCGTACACATCCTGCTAGGCCCGAGCTAGCAGTCCCTTTCCTAAGTAGACTTAGCTAAGTACAAATATTACATAATTAGGTATACGCTGTACCTGATATAGCGGGTACAGCATGTCGTATTCCTTTTTGTTGATAAGTGGAAACCAGGCCCATTATCATCTAATAGGATGCGACCTTTATATTGAGTGGCTCTAACGAACTTTGGAGACCATTCGTACTTAGAATACAAATTATAATATAAAGATAGAGTTAAAATTAATAATAAACAAACACGCGTTTGATTGACGCGTATTCTCTAACGTTTCCTCGTAAGCCGTTGGGTGTAAGCTACGTAACGGGTCCTTTCCCCGTTACACCTAACAGCACTTTGTAGTCCTTCTAACGAAGAAGAGCGCTGTGCCTATCCAGGGCGACGAGGGAGGGATGCTGGATCATGATGAGCTCCATCATCTGAACTTTTTCAGAAGTAAATCTTACCGTCGTCTTGCAAACGTAGCCGATATAACTACTGTTGTCGCCATGCTTAAGGGCAAACCTGAGCGGCTACAGCGTGTAGTTATCCCAGACTTTGTCAACTCCCAGACTTTATCAACCGCGAACTTGCCGTTTGCTTCGGCGAGCCTCAACTCCCGCGGTTGCCTCAGGGTCCGAAGTTGCCAGACTTGACGTCTCGTGCTGTAGCGGCGAGGTCCCGAAGCGCCTTGCGCTTAATCGGTGGCTTTGTGAAGTATACATTGTCTTCAAAGCCCTTCTGCTCATTTCAAAGTGCGCTTGCACCCACTTCCTCTTGTCTAAGTTGACAGAAAAGGCAAAGGAGTGAGCGCTGTGATAGCTTGTGGCTATCCCAGGATGCTTACCGAAAATGAAGGCCCTCAAGGACGACATGCGCCTAGCTTTTGAGCCTCCGCAGGATGAGCACAACCATCGCTTGGATATCATGGTGCTGAAGCAGGATCGTCTGCCGATGATGGATTATATCCAGCAAGCATGACATCTGGCGTCCTGCGTAATCACCAATCCGACAAATAAGGCGACGCAAGTACACGTGTTTGTCACAGGAATAAGCGCTGGGCATCAGCCTTTTTATTTGACGCGGAAGTCCCTTACGTCCCTATAACAAGCGTTGCGATCGCGTTGCGTGAGAACTTTAGTGTCATGGCTTCGCGCATGAATATTCTTCACCTGCTTTTGCTAGGTAAGAGCCTGAGCTCAGATAGGTTGCTGCGATCGAGCACGCTACATCTCTCGGCGTGTGCCAAGTGCCAAGTACCGGAAGGCTGTAGCACCAAAATGGCTGATTTGCTTCCGCTGTCGTAAACCTGGTCACCACCTGCACCAGTCCTCGCTGTCGCTGTGTCTAACGCAACCGTCATCGCCTCTGATCAGGCAAAAACAACGGCAGCCAGTAGGCCTGGGGCGTCCTACTGGGTGAAAAACAGCGACACGTGTCTGCAGTGGCGACAACTTCTCCTAGCCCCGCTGTGCAAAATGCACAGCTAAATGCCACCACGTCTAGCAGTGATCCGCGTTTAATCGTGCTTCACGTTCCCGTTGACGATGCGTCACGTCCACTTCGCGCGTTACTAGACTCAATGGCATGGAACCATTTTAGCCGTGCCGAGAGTTTACCCTTTCTCACGTCGCAATTGCGTGTACTCAGTGTTCAGGGAAGATAAGCGTCAAGTATACGGAAGGAAAGCCTCGCACGCACCAACATAGTTCGGTGGTGCTTCCTTACCGGTTCGATGCTTTTGAGAAAAGTGATGAATACTAAGTTATAGGCTTGAGCGGTTCATTCGACTGCATTTTTAGGATGCCGTGGCTTGCACGGCTTTGATCTGACATTGATTGGCTGAAATTCGCGGTTCAAACACGCGACATTGATGCCAATGCGGGTCTCTCCGTTCTAAACAGACCAACGAGTATTTGGCAGCATGTTGCTGCGTGAACCCCGACTGCTCATACCCCTGAAGTGTGTGATAGCCCTTCGATTGTGGTGTGTAGCCCAGCAACCCGCTCCCCTTCAGTCTAACAGTGGTTCCTGAGTCAACAATCAGACCCGAAGTAGTGGCAACGGATGTCTCATGGTCGAGCAGCGGCTCCCATGCGTGTGCGTCCTTCCACAACCGCACGAAGGCGGAGACCTTCCATGCGTCACAAGCAAGCAGTAACTTCCGTGCGAGTACAAGATGCGAATGTTGCGCCAAAGCAGAGGCTTTCAGTGCGTGCAGTTTCAACCCCACCGCATCGAAGCAGCGGCTATCGTGCGTCATGAGCGAGCAGTGTCTCCCGTGCCAGTCCCCATGGAGGACTCACGTTGGAGCAGCGGCTTCCGACAACTTACGCGGAGGAAGTGGCTTCCGTGCAACCAGTTTTGCATCCAATTCGTGTTCTGTGTCACGTCGTCGCCGTGGGCGGCGTGCTCGTGTTCATCCTCCTTTGTAGACACCATCTATCCCGCCGGCACTACCATTCGAGACCATCAATGTCGTTAACGAGACTGGTGCTCGTCCGCGCAGCCATTCGTTCCAAGTCGCGAGGGCACCTCGCGACGCGTCTGGCATTACGCAGCCTTTGGAACTCGCTTAGGATGAGTTACTGCACGGTTTTAAGAGGGGAGGGATCGAACAAATTATCTAGTTGTTCATGTACCCGAGTTCAACAACCTTGAGCATCCTGATGGGATGAAACCGAAGTTTGCACGCGAAGAGTGCTTCGCGGCGCACCCAGAAATAACTTGCTGCGTCAAGAAATTCTCTTCTTGCGCTTGCGCGCAAGTTTGAGGGTGTCTTACCTGACAAAAATATCTGCGGTTCTTCCTGCGGATAGAGAAGCGCGGCACGAGATCGATCACGTGTTTGGTTTCAAAGAACTACTTCACTTTACAGTGGCCACTCTCTTGTGACTCAGTCGAAGCTGTTGACGCCTTCGTTGAATGGTGTCGCGCTGCAAATCACGTGCGTGAGGGTGCGTTTCTCGCGTACTTTTCCCGTTTCGCGACTTTGTGCCAAGCTATTTTGATGATGTCTTTGTGCATAGTCGCGCATCCGATGACACGACTGAATTGGACGTGTATCTTGGTCATTTTTGGGAGGTTTTTGAGGCGATGCGTAAAAAAAAAGTATGCGAACCTGAAGAAATGCACCTTTTATGCTCCAGAGATCCCAGTGTTGGGCAGTTGCGTGAGCGCGAAGGGTGTTTGCGCTGATCTGGAGAAAGCCTCATCCATCTGCTCATGGCCGGTTCCAAAGGAACAGAAACACCTTCAGCAATGGTTGGGTCTGGCCAACTACCTGCTTTACTACGCTAAAGACTTTGCGGCAGTGATTCATCCATGGTCTCAGCTACTGAAGAAGAACGCCACGTGGGTGTGGCGTCAAGAGCATCAGGATGCATTCGACGAGATCAAAAAGAGACGCTCGACAGCGCCTGTGTTAGAGCTACCAAGTCATGACGCACCATTCCATGTTTTCTGTGACGTGAGAATTTTGCAATTGGCTGTGCGCTGATGCAACATGACGCCGCGGCGAAGGAACGAGTGGTCAGCTACCAGTCTCGGCATCTGAAGCGTGCCGAGCGAGCCTACCCCGTGCATCACAAGGAGTTGCTTGCAATGCGCCATGCGCTCGTAAAGTTTGGCGTCTATCTGCTTGCATAACAGACATTCGCCATCTACACGGACCACGCGTCCCTGCGTACCGCCACAAAGAGCCCTTATCTAGGCCAGCGCATGGCTTTCTGGTTGTATTTCTTCCGGAGTACACCTTTGTCGTGTACTAAAAACCTGGATCGACTAACATCATTTCCGATGCGTTGTCGCGGCGCCCAGATTATGATGTTCGTGCCGCGGCTTCTATTTCTGCCGCCTTAGAGTCGGATGATGATGACTGTGCGGCTTGCGATACACTCGGTGTCAACGCTACGGCCGTGTTTGCGGTCAACCCTCTCAGCGCTGATATCGCGGAAGCGTACTCCCGCGATGACTTTTATTCGTCAATTGTTCGGCATTTGAGTTCTCCCTCGGATGGTGTGCTATGATCCCTTTCAATTTCTACTCGCGCACACATTACGCGCTATGCTTTTGATGGTAATCTGATTACATACCAGATCGGTCGTTTCGCTTCTCCACGTATCGTCGTCTTCCTTGACGACGACCTTCGTGGGTGTATTCTCCATGAGTATCATGACAGTGTCTTGAGTGGTCATCTGGGTCGCGAAAAGACATATCTTACGCTGTCTCGGAACTTCTATTGGCCTCATATGTACAAGTTGGTACGTAAGTGGGTTGGTTACTGTGAAGTTTGCTAGCGTGTGAAGCCAGCTCCGTCGTCACAGGCGCCGCTTTGCCCGCTACCGATCGCCACGTATGTTTGGAGCTGCGTGAGCATGGATTTCGTGTTTAGTATACTCGCCGGTGTGCAGAGGCGCACCGGCGCTTTGGTGATCATTAAATGGTTTAGCAAGATTGTGCACCTTTCAGCTGTTACGGTGCTCACTACTGCGGCGGAGACAGCAGCTCTCTTCGTCGACATGGTCTACCAGCATCATCGCATGCCTGTCACAAAAGTTTTAGATTGGGATCCCTGCTTCACCGCCGCATTTTGGTCTCGGCTGTTCGAGATATTCGTCACCCGCCTGACGATGTCCACCGCTGCCCACCCTGAGACGGATGGTCAGACTGAGCGGATCAATCGCGTCTTGGAGGATGTGCTGCGTAGCTGCGCTACTTTGTTTGCCTCATGGACATTTAACTTCCCATGGTCTAATTTGCGCTAAATAACGAGTCCATGCTTCGACAGAATCAGCACCCTTTTTCGTGAACAACGCGTGCCACCCACATGTTCTTGTCTATCTGGGATTGACCGGTTGTTCTACTCTTGCTAGATTAAAAGCACCAGAAGCAATGGTGTTGGCGGCGTCTTGACAGGTAATCCTCGACGCCTCACTCAACGTTGCTCCCGATTCGAGGTGCTACTCAGCGCGAGATTACCCTGACTGTCATTGACGACGCGACTTAGACGCCAATTATGGAATGCTGTGCAGCTTAACTAGTTCCTTTGCCTGGTGCAACCACCGGCGTTGCTGCTCCCGAGGTTACAACGATGCAGAACGCTTGCTTTATAACCACACAGCGATGAAAGCGTTTGTGCACAACGACAATCCATCGTGGGTCGTGCGCGCGACGCTATCGCCTCTGCAGTGAAAAAAACAAAAGCCGTCCGCTGATCAACGCGGACGCAAGAATCTCGAGAAATTCAAGGTAATGATTCTGTTCTGCTTTTGCCTAATGGAATATAAGATGCGTCGGTTACAAATATCGGTGTCACAAAGCTGTCACCGCGATATATTGGACCTTTTAAGATCACCAAATTCAAGAATGACGCCTACAAACTGGATATTTCTTCCTCAATGTGTCTCCACCCAAACTTCTTTGTTGGACCTCACAAGCGTTACTAACCGGCTGTTCTTACGTCGTCGATTAACTCGCCGCGAGAGCATATTGCGGTCCCCCGATAACGTGTTTATTTCGTCGGATCAGGCTGGCGCAGCCCACGAAACACCACGTTATCTCGACGAAGAGCAAATTTCGATTGTTCCAGACGTTCTAGGCTCTGTGCCAATCCAGCAATAGTAGACGAAACTCCTCAGCAAAGCTCTCAGAAGCTTCGGCTAGGTCACGCGCTTAAATTGCATCTTGGTCATAGATGGTCATCCGCCGACCAATCTTCTGCAGATGCTCCGCGAGTGACTAGTTCAGATATGGCGCAGGACTTGCATGTCCTGCTCTACTTCCCCTCGTCTTCTGCCTTAGTCACCCCACTGTCCCCCGTCCTCAACATACATCGCCTATCGTGAAAATCTACCTCCCGTGACTCATCAAGGATCGACGCATACACTGCATTATCTTCAATGAATCTATTATAGGATATCAGACTTCCAAGAAACGATTGCATGGATTTGAGTGTCGTTAGCAACGGTAGGTCAACCAGG